TCCTTGTAGTTGAGGGTGCCGGTTTTGCCTTGAAAGTAGATTTGATTTGCTTTCCTTTCTGGCACGCATCACAAATGCTTTCCTTCCTGAATACAGCTTTGGGAAGGCCTTCTACTAACCCTTCTTTGGATAGCTTGTTGAGAGTTTTGAAGTTGAGATGACTCAACCTCTTATGCCAAAGCCATAGAAGGTTAGTGTCACCTTTGCTGATTAGACATGCTTCCTTGACATCGTTCCATATCACTTCATAGATGTTTCTGATTCTCTTCCCAGTGAGAATGACTTCATTTGTGGAGATGTTCTTTAGAGATGCCATGTTCTTGCAGAATTCCAAGGAGTAACCTTTATCACAAAACTGACTTATACTAAGAAGGTTATAGTTGAGTCCTTCAACATAAGATACAGCTTGGATGGTTAGTCCCTTGTACACCAGATTTTCTAGCCCTTTAGTAAGGCCAAAATCGTAGCTTCCTCCAAAAGTAACCCTTGGACCATCATAGGGAATTAGATTGCTCAAAAGGCTCGCATCACCCGTCATGTGTCTTGAGCAGCCACTGTCTAAGTACCAGACACCTGGGTACTTAGCGGCTTCCTGCATTAGGAGGGGGAAGATTTTGGTACCCATTTCAGTTTGGGTCCGGAATGGTTAATGGTGTGTGTCCCTACATCAAGTTTAAAGTTGCAGGAAATTTTCCTTGCAGCTCTAAACTTGTTGGGATTGTAATAATAGTTGTAGGCATAAAACTTCCTACGTGCAGGAGGTGCAATTTCCTGTTTCCTCCTAGCAAACCTAGGTTGATAAGACCTATAGTTTTGTCTAGTTTGTGCATAGTGTGACCTGTGTTGGTTATAAGCATACTTAGGTGGCACAAATAGTTTTTGGGGTGGAGGATGACTATATCTTGGCATAGTTCTCCACTCAGAATTTCTTGGAAAACTTCTGTCTTCCCCATAATGAGTATAGCCTCGTGTATATTGGGAGTTAGAAGGTTTTCTTCTGAAATTGTTTCCTTTTTGAGGTCTATCCAGCTTCCTATAGTTCTTAGGAGGGACTACCTTTTTGGGAACTCTTGTTGGTTTCTCCTTTTCCTTCCCTTTCTGCTTATTAGGTTTGGCAGTAGGTTTAGGAGGGATGAAAGTTGTCTTCCCTTTCCTTTTGGAACTAGAGGAGTCAAACCCAAGTCCTTTGCGACCCTTATGTTTGGTCGTTTCAAGCAGCTTGTTCACTGCTTCTTGGGACTTGAGTATCCCTAGCTCTTTGTTAAGGGATTTCACCTTTTCAGAGAGAGATTCATTTTCAGTCTTGAGTTGAGTGATCTCATTCA